CTTATTACGCTTATTTTGTAAAACCAAAAATATTTCCATCCGTAAAATATAAGGATGTATGGCTAAAAGTGAAATACATTGAACTATGTTAGTTAATTAATCAGCAAGTTATAAAAATGTAGGGGCTATATTTGAATATTTCGATTTCCTTTATCATAGTGTAAAATAAATAATTCTAAATGTTCAGGGGCTACTCCTGTATTTTCTAAATACTTGAAAAGTGAAACGATACTTCTTAAATTGAATGAAAATGGAATCAGGTAACATAAAAAGTGCACAGTGGCCTCGACTGCCACCATTCACTTCTAATCATTTTTTAAGAAGATAAATTGTTAATATTACTAATCTCTTTTTTTTTTAAAAAGGATGCTCAACCAATGTATACACAGACCCGAACATACTTTTTCTTTCACCCGAAATCTCATTTTCTACCATTGATGAATATACAAAAGCTTCAAATTTTCACCAAATAAAATATATAAAATCACTATTAAACATCTCCAATTCTTACTGACATATTCCCGTCACAATTTTCGAAAATAAATCTAATAACAATACGAATTCTAGGTTTTATTAAACCAAAATTACACTCTTCAAATTTTTGTTAAATTGCTACAGGTTCAGTTGAATTGACACAAGGGGTTGAACCAAAACATGTAAAGGAATTGTACAAACCTATTTAAACAACCAATTCGAGCTTAAATTGGATAAACGTACCTCAATTTCAGAAAAACAACTCCGAAAATCTAGAAGAACTTTCAAACCCTATTTCTCCCTTGATTCTCAGTCGTTTCTCACAATTCTTGTGGGTTTTCACTAAATTTTTCGTGTTATTTATATTTCCTAAGTGTATAACTGATGAAACCTTTTCAGTTGATCAAATTTACTGCCCCAATGAAGGTGACAGTTTTTGCCATTAAAACTCATAATTTTCTACTAATTAACCCATTAAACCTTGAACTAATCGTTTTATTATAATGATATAATCTAATTACATATATCTTTATATATTTAAATTTGTGTTATCACAATTTTTATCATGTTAAATACAAAGTTTAAATCAATATATAAGTTAAATATCATGACAACTCCAAAATAAAACTAAAAATTTGAAATTAACTTTAAAAATTTTTAAAGGTGTTATTAGAAAGTTTTACATGATTACTGAGAGACAACGAATAATAAATTTTACATTGCTACTTTAAAAAAACAATTGAACTTAAACCATATTACTTAAGTAACCTCTTAGGCTATAGTGAGTGGGAGGTGCTAAGGATGCTACACCACCCCTACCTTGTGCTAAGGAGGGAGCTAGGAAGAAGTTTCTATGAGTGTAGAGAGATGAGAAAGGAGAGAGAAAGTATGGAGAGGTGTTATGATTGGCTGATTCTTATTTCTTTATATATTTTGATTTTTTTCTAGAACGTGCTCTATTTGGAATTTTTCATGTCAAAACTCCCCCTTAACATGTGGCATAAACATTGTGCTTGAATCCGGAAAACCCAAAAAATATTCAATTTTTAGCTTCGTTCACGGATCGCCTTTGACAAAATTTCTCAAAAATGGGTAGAAATTGTCAATTTCAAAATTCTACAGTGACCCATGGAGAGGTGTTATGATTGGCTGATTCTTATTTCTTTATATATTTTGATTTTTTTCTGTAAAATTAAACCTATTAAATTGTAACACTTCCACTGCTTACCTTTTTAATGTAAATTGTATTTATGGTGATTAATTTCATATCCTAAAGATTAATTAAACAATGATATCAACTCAGAACACTTTGTTAATTAAGTTATAACACTCAACGATAATTTGGTAATAAAAGTCATCACCACATACGAAAAAAATATATATTATTTTAGCTAATTAAATGTAGAAATAGATAGATAGATAGATAGATAGATAGAGAGAGAGAGAGAGAGAGAGAGAGAGAGAGAGAGAGAAATATATGATTGGGTGTGGTCATTTTTGATGGTGACCACATTTCACCAGAAGATCATGGGTTGGTTTTCATATTCCACCACATTGCCACATCAACCACATTTGTGGCCTATGTCGAGCTACATTTATAAACTATTTATATATTAAATTCTAATGATAATCTTAATTTAAAATATTTCATATTAAAGTATAATAAGTGAACTATATGATGAGGAATTATGGAACATTTTAGATAATTAAGGATCAATAAGTTAAATTCATAAAAAAATCTACTGAAAAGTTTAACCGTTGTAAGGGTCATAGAGGTCAAAATTATGAAAAAACAACTTTCTAAAAAAAGGTTGATTGTTGTTTCATGAAAAATCTAGCTTGGACGATATACTACGAAATGAAAAGAAAAATGTGCCCTTAAGGGATTGGTGCATTTTGAATTGATGAAATGTGTATGCCAGTGTAATTTAGTCTTTTTAATATCCCACCCCCGTAGTTCTGACTTCATGTTCGTCGGTAAATAATGACCTGTAATTATTTCAGGTATTAGTCCTGTTAACTTTCTTCCCCAAGAATTTGTTCATTAATCTACCTTCCCAAAGAATTGTGGTTTTAGAATCTAGCACGTGTAGGATCAGCTTCTGTTGTTGATCTTGCTAACTCCCAACTTGTGTAAGTTTTATCTACATTCAACGGTGTAATCAATATTATTCCCATGAATCATTAATAGAAACATCCATTTGCAATCATGATAGTTTTATTATGTAGTTGTAAGGTTTTCCGAGACGCAACATTCAATGATGTTGCGTATCAACGTGTTTCACTGGAGATTTTGCGAATAATTTCATGGACAGAAAGTGTAGATAATCAATTCTTTAACTCATTCGTGCAGAGATGTTTGGCGATTCGAAATCTTGAAGTCATATTTTGGGATGGAATGGTATGATCAAACGTCCATATATATATATATATATATATATATATATATATATATATATATATATATATATATATATATATATATATATATATATATATATATATAGTATTTTAATTGATAACTTGAATTAGATTTCTCTAAATCACAATGTATTACTCTCTTAACAAAGACAATATTTCACTTTGGGAGTATTGGATTTTGGATTTGATTGCTTGGAGTTTGCATCCCAAAGGGGAAATGTAGAGGCCACTTTTTTTGTAGGGATAATTTTCATTGCAACAACAATCCCATCCTAAGAATAAGGGTTAGAACTTTTTAATGGAACTCATTGGCCTGACTTTCTTTCTTGTAGAAGAAAAGTTTTTGTATTCTTTGGTAAACGCTTCGTCAGTTTTAGATTCCAATATTAGTTTAGATTTCTTTTTGATTGCCCAACAGCAGGCCATAATATAGGTCGTTTAAGAAATATGGATTACAATCATAATGATCCTGAAATTGAAAATTGTCCATCATGTAGGTGGGATAGACAATTTATGTTTTTCTGTAGAGTTGTAGATGTACAAAATTGAAACTTTTTACCAATTAAATCATATATATGACTACAACTTTGTTATAGATATTGCCAATTACAATGAACTCCATAGAGCTCCATATTGCCACATAATCTTTCTACATTCCATGCATACTATGAATTTTTTCCCATAATATCGAACTCTTTAAAGTTAAATAGAACCTGAAATCCATTAAATGATAAGTAGACTTGCCTCCTCTTTCAACTCTTCCATTGAGCTCACCATTGTAGACGTTGTGTAAATCAAGAAATGGTGTCTTAATTAATAAATCCTTTCCATGCATGTGTAAAACTCATTGTTGTAACTTATAACCAAAAAATGGTTTGAAAAGATAAAAGTGAACATTGAGAGTATATATGAGATTCATTAATTAAGGATATTATGGTTTTCTGTATCTTAGAAAACCATTAAGAGTTTCATAAATTTAATTAGGATATACATCATAAGTAATTGGAAAATATTAGAATATAATGTCCTTAATGCACCTCATACAACTCTTTATGGCTTTATTATGGCTTTTTAAATATCATACGTAATTGGAACTTTATTAGTTTTTGTAAATGGTGGTAGAATTGTAATTAAACTAATTTTAATGATCATTTAATTTGCATAATTGAGTTTTGATTTATTTAAATATTTATATTGAATTTACAAAATGGTATTAATTAGATTATATTATTTTTCTTGGAGTTTTTTTTTAATTTAACTTATTTAAATATTTATATTGTTAAGCACACTAGAGGAAACAAAAAACATAAATAGAATTATTTTAAAATTTAAAACTCAAACATGACAACATAGAAACAAAAAGTTTATATGTTTCCTAAAAAATCATCTTGACTCAAGGTCTGGTCATCAATGGTTTTCATGGTCTTCTCAATCCTCTCAACCAATTCCTTATTCCTCTCGATTTCTTTAGGCAGATAAATTAAAGAAGCATTGCGTGGTCCAACAGGTGGAATATGCCCAACGACTCTATGTCCTTGTCTAGGTCTTCTTGTTGCTATAGTTGCTTGAATTTTAAACCCTATTTCCTGTATTTCCAATGTTCAATGTGGATTTTTATCATTTCACTTACTTTTGCTTTATAGTTTTCCACTTTGACTTTTTTTTGCTGCTTCATCTTTGATGTGCTTGAAGAAGAGGACGCCATGATGAAGAAACACAAATTACGGATAGAGAACCTCTATAACTTGATGGTTAATTTATCTGAATTAAAGGTTTATTTATAGAGTCTATTGGAAAATTAATATCAATTAATGACATGGGGGTAGGTGGACAAATTTAGTAACCAACCCGATATTATAAATGCTCTCTTAAATATTTTAGAAAAAGTGGCAAATATTTTCAGTTCTACACTTATATATATATATATTATATATATATATATATATAATATATATATATATAGATATATATATATATATATATATATATATATATATATATAAGATCAATCTATCCTTTTTCAATTCTCACAATCATATTGTTTTATACTCCCTAGTTTGGAAGTGTGATCATCACATATCCAGGTAATTAAGAACTCAAACGACATGGCTGCCAAACCCAATATTGTAGACAAAGAAGCCCTTCTCAAAGTCATTGAGAACGACATCAAGAATGATCATGAACTGAAAGCTCGTATACGCTCCATGATCGCTAAGACTTGCAAGGCGTACGAAGAGAAGGACAAGATGGTTCAGTGTGTGACTACCATCCAATCATCTCTCAAACAAATGCATGCAACGTTTTTCTTGATTAGTGATAAAAGAAAGGATGTTCGTGTGATGGAAAAGTTGGCCAAAATCATCAACCTGATTGACAAGTGGAATGAAGAGAGGTTGAAGAACGAATTAATGGGGCTTTGTTTTTGTTTTTTCGGTTTTGTTTCTTTGATTTTTGTAAGGGTTTAATTTATGGTAGTTAGAGTGTGTTTTGGAATGCATATTTAATTTGGTGTGAAATGACTAATGAGAGGGCTATGTAGACATTAGGCTAACCACTAAAATAGATACAACAAGTAAAGTCCATACATAAAAGTCACATCTAACAAAATGTTATGAATTTAAAAAATAAATAAACAAATTAAGAAAAACGTAAAAAAATCAATAAATAAGAATTGTTTTTTAAAACAGTTAAGTTGGGAAGTAAATGTGTAATATGATTTTGTATTTATACACATTTAGTCCCACTGAGATTCAGTGCATTGTCATTTGTCTTAATAGCAAAATTGCAATGTACTTTCCTACAGCCATTTCTCTTAACCAACATATCAAAAAATTCAGCCATTTGTCATTCCTCTTAATCTCAAAGTAGCAATGAACTTACTTACAAAACATTTCCGTGAAAAGATATTTACTTATCTAGACCAAAAATTTGTGTTTTAAGATATTGTATTGTAGAAGTTTATAAAACATAAATTGTTGTGTATGAAGGAAAATTGTTGTGTACAAATCATTTTTCATCATAATTCGGTATTATTTTATAATAATAGTTAGCGTATTATTTAAATATCATTTAATAGGTAATTAAAGTTGTTCTGTCATCTCCCCGTAAACAAACGATCATTTTTCAAAAAACCCTAAAATATCTTCTTTCTAGTTTGAAAAATAACCAAGGTTATTGCAAAAGTTTGTGTTTTAAGATCTTTCATCTTCCCCCAAAAACATCGGGTATGTTTATTTCCCTCTTTCTTGAAATTACTATGTATTTACCATGTTTATTGAAATTATTGTTCCCCATGTTTCCTCTTAAACATTGTGATAAAAAACCCCATGAGTTTGCAACTTTATAAAGAAAATAGAATCAATGTCTCGTATATGTCGTTACAATACCGTTGATGATATTCCTAACAACGTCTTCGTTAATATTATGGAAAAAGTTGGAGCATCATTTGCGAAAGACTTACGTATTGCAATACGTTGGTAATTTTCACACACCCCTTACATATACTTGTATATGTCACATTAACCTTACCGAAATCAACTTGATTTTTTCTTATAAACGTTAAATTTTAACTTTATTAGTTGTAAAAGTATGAATGAAGCAGGAGAGGAAGGCGATGTCCATAAATGTGCCTTCCTTGATTCGATTCCTTTAGGTATGGTTTTTTAACCAACACAAAAAACCTTTATTGATAAGTGTGTAGAAAAAGAAAACCTTGAGGTCTCATACAGAAAAGGAGTGGTATGTATGAATTTTGATCATCAATTTTCAGAAACTTATAATTTTTGTTGATTTGTTATTGATACTAACGTTAATGTTACTTATGTTAATGTTAATTGTAGACTGAATACTTCTACAGTGGTAATTTCGAAGTTGGAATTAAGTTTTGAATTACTGTTGCAACAAATAATCATTGGGAAGAAACTTATGTTCTTGGGATGATATACATCTCCAAAGGACATCCAATATGCAAAGAAGGTCTGGTATATACTAAATACATGTTTTGTTCATATTAATTTTTCTTTTTATTGCCATATAATCAATAATGCAAGTAGTATAAGAGTTGAATGGGGTGATGACTAGGATTGAATATGAGTTGAATGGAGTGTGAGTATGACAATAGAGTATAAAAAAGAAGTTTGAATGATTAGGACATGAATAATTAATGGGTTGTGAGTGTTTTTGTATAGATTTTTGTTGGATGATGTGGCAATCCACTGAACTCTATATTGTGGAGGCATTTAACCCTCATCAGAAGAACAAATATTTGTGGATATTTAATATGTTTTCTTAATTTCTACAAAGTCTTCATTAGGTAACACACTTTAATTTAGTTTACTATGCATATTAAAATTTCCTTTTAGCCTATTTTTTGTTATATATATGTATGTTGTGGTGGATATTTAATATATTGGACTAAAATTGTTTTTTATTTCTCATGTGTAATTGTAGGTTTATACGTGTTGGGTAATTATTTTGGTAAGTTGATTGTATATGATCTTGGTTTTGTTGATTGTTCAACAAAAGTTAGGAAATTCTTGCAAAATATATTTGTTCGACATAAACCTTCAGAAGATCAAGTCATGACTTTAAAATGTGAAGACCATACCATTGAAGAGGTCACTGATGAATATGCTGACGATGATCATGTATTGAAATTTTCTCGTATTTGTAAGTGGTATTAGGAGTACATTGGTTTTTGTAAATTTGTAAAATATATTCATTAATTAGGTACATAACACTTTATGGTAACTATAAATGTAAACACAATACTTTTTTTGGGTTTTTTGTTGATTTGAATGTAAATAGCTAGTAATATGTAAATTAAATTATCTTATTGTAGTAAAAATGCACGTGTTTTAATTTTTGGATGTTGTTTATACACTTATTTAACATTTAAAAAATCATAAGTTAAAGGTGATCACTTAAAACAACCAATAGGAAATGAATTCTCACAATTGTAGTGGTTAATTTGTTATTTGACTTCAAGTTAGGGTGTTTGGTATTTCATTTAAAAACAACTTATTGACTTATGGCTCTTTAAAAAGTCAAAAAAGTCAAAAAAAAAACGTGTTTATCAATATGGAAATTACTTTTAAAATAACATTTAATTAACCCTTCAAAAAATGAGAGTTCAGTAAGGTAATTTTGATTTCTAACTTTTCAAAACTCCTTATAACTTTTTGGGTTGTAAAAGAGAAATATCCCTTAAAACATGTATAAAGCCAAGACAAACACTTTATCAAAAACAATTTATTGACTTATTGGACTTGGATAGTTTGAACCGATTTTACTGAACTTGGATAGTTGGGTTTCACTTAGACCATTAAGGTACATATCAAATAAAAAACAGGTTATAATAGTTGACATTTGGCCAGCGTTTTCGGTCGTTGCACGACTTGTCACCGATTTTCATGTTAGAAACTTCAATAGAAGATTTAATCACTTAAAATGAAACTTCAACACCATATGTTTCGCTTAATAATTGATATAAATTAAAGGCACATATAAAATAACAAAACCCGTTAGTAAAGAGGACATTTGCCCACCGTTTTAGGCTGTCACACTAATGGTCACTTTTTTTATGTGAAACCGACGTGAATGTGTAAAGTCTAATATGCAATGGTGACTCGCTTTCAGTAAACTGTCATGGAAACAATCATGTGAATTAGTCTATGACCTTTAGTGATGAGAAAAATGAAAACCGAGAGCACCCAGTTTTAACAAACTGATGCCATAGCGAAGTTTTGTACTAGTGTAAAAATGTGATCTTGGTCCCTTTCCTTTCTTCATGCATGAGATTGGAGGCTTTGGTTTGTGTATTAAGTTAGGGTTTGGTTATTGGACTCAATCTAGACTTGGAAAGTCATAAAGGTGGAAACTTTATGACTTGGAATGTTAATTGGGACTAGATTTGAGCTTTAGACGTGGTATCTTAATGAAACAAGCACTTAATAGAAAAATAGGGAAGCAGTTGAGTACGATGGGAATACCTGGTGGTATGTTGTGTGTTCCTCGTTGATGCCATGTAATCTGGAAAAAGGTGCACTATGATGGGCGTAATGGTTGAGTATATTGAGCGTACTCGGTCTATGTTGACTTTGTTGACTTTCTAAATTATGACCTTTGACCTTGGGTTTGACCAAGTTTGACTTAGTGGTATTTGAGGTATTTTAGATGGTAGAGTGAGTTTAGGTCACTGTCTGTTGTATAGGTGACCGGTAGAGTTAGCAGTTGGAGATGTGATCTGTTTAGCTACATTCAGACTGTAAGGTGAGTTTCTTCTTACTGTACTCATGGGTCGAAGGCACCAATGCGGGCCAACTAGCTTATAAGTATATTGGTATATAGGATTATGGTGTGCTGATTATATGTTAGATTGGTAGATTTGTATGATTACCTGTATTTGCTAGTTATATGTTTATCTGTTACATATCTTGACATGGTGTGGCTGGGTTGAGGTTGTACTGCTTTGTGTTGTCGGCCAACAAATTCGGGTAGTCCAGTCGGGAGATTGTGGGCTAGTGGCAATCCAATCGGGAGATTGTGTGCCAAAGTGGCAATCCAATCAGGAGATTATGGGCCAATATGTCAATCCAATCTAGAGATTTTGGGTCACGGTAATGGTTGTGTGTGGTACTTTGGGGGAACTCACTCATCTTTGGATTATAGTTTAACTATTATGGTTTTAAGTCCTTTAGAGGACAAGGTCAAGGAGAAGGCTCGATCATGCACATCCTTCGTATTTTATGATATTTGATTTTGGGATACTCTGATTCACGACTATAACTATTGGAAACTATGATTGGTAAACATTTATGGTTTTTGGCTTGATTTGAAAATGAAAATTTTATCGTGAGTTTTAGGTTGTTACAAGTTGGTATCAGAGCTCTTTTCTGAGAGAATTGGATGGGCATTCGTGTGAATCCAGGCTCAAACTATGGATCTATAAAAGTTTTCAAAATGGTTTTCAAAAACTGTTTTCAAAGGTAACCAAGGAAGGATGAGATGTCTACGATCATCCGGAGCAAGAAAGTATACCCCAAGTTACCCACACTTTTATTTGTTTATGACGTTTATGATAGAATTGCATGCTAGTGGTAGGCTAGGGATCTTGAGGAAATTGCATGATAGAATTTCCTGATGTATGATGCCTGATAGCCTAGGAGAACTTTTTGTATTATAGATGAAATTGACATCATTATTGTAGTTTCTTAGTGTCTGCATCATAGTTGTACATAACTAAGATTTTATAGCCTAAGAATATGTAACGACCCAAAAATCAAGGGCAAAAATTTCATTTTTCAATATAGTTAAACACGAGCGTCACTTATTGCATACACTCAAAAACATGGTTTAATTAAAACAATTATCAGAGTTACATCCCAAAATCACGTAATGCGGAAAACATGGGTGTGTGTGTGCTGCGATCAAGTCGGGCCCTTCCTTTCCAAACCGATGATACCTG